AGTGATTATTGGACCTTTAAAGAGTATTCTTAGGAAGTTTCAGCTGAATCCAAGTTTGAGCGATTTTCGTCATAGTAGCACTTTAAGATTGAGCTGCTTTGACATGAAATGCAAGGGGTGTCGAGCCTCACAACTCAAGCCTTTCAAGACAAAGTCACGTGGATTTAAACAAATGTTTTCATTCTTGTGAGAGTAAACATAGTGCCGTGATATATCATAAGGACTATTGGCTGTTTAGTAAGAATTAGATAAAAATCACTGAACAGTTTGACTTATGACAGCTGCCAACATGGTGACTTTATCAAGGGTGGATCCAGGGAGGGGCAAAGGGGGGCTGAAGCTGCCCCTTCAGCAGAAAAACGAAACAAAACAAAACTGAAATATTAGATGCTTTTTTTTTTTTGTTTTCCGTTGTGTTAACGGACAAAACTCAATTAGCCCCCCCCCCCTAAAATTTTGGCTGGATCCGTCCTTGTGTATATGTAGCAACTAACGTTTATGCCATTTTTTCTATATTGCAGGTCAAAGAAACAATGCAAAGAAGTATTTAGGTATACATCATACCTCAGCCAGCTGGAGCGAAAGGATGTCCAAACCTTTAAGACTTGCAAATGAAGCAAAATGTGCGTGTACTAACGACAACCCCTTGAGGTTCAGGCGTTTCCATGATCGCGAAAGAGATGAATTATTAGGTTTGCAGTGTTTGATATGTGACAAGGAGTACCTCAAGAAAACGTTTGTGCTCATAAGCCGTGATGGGCATATTCTTCAATCCGGTAGACATAAATTCTACCTTGCTGAAAGGTCCCATATACCCGAGGATGGTGTCCACATGGTACACTCAGCAAAAACGGCAATCGAAAATGGCGATAATCTCAAACCTGGTGACCATATTGCATGGAAAAGGCCGTTGGGTCACTGGCATCACGCCATTGTCACAGAAACGAATGACAGCGGCAATGAAGTTCGCGTTGTTCACTGGCACGGTGACAAAAGCGGTATCATAACCCCCGACTGCAAAATACAAGAGGAATGGATAGATTTGAAAAAACAAAAAGGAAGCTTATACCTAATGGACTATTCTGAAGAGATTCTGAACACGAACCCTGCCCGACTTGTTATTGCTCGCGCTCGTTCAAGAATCGGCGATAAGGGCTATCATCTAGTCACAGATAACTGCGAAACGTTTGCTTCGTTCTGTAAGTTTGGTGTCGCAATAAGCCAACAAATTATCTGGGCATGCAAGGAACTAAAAAATGAATGTAAAAAATCTGGTCTTAAGACCTTTGCAAAAGTTGGCCTTGCTGAGCTCACCGAGCAGGCTGTCTACCAAGAACAGTGGCTTGGATTTAGTTTGGTAGTAGTCTTGGAAGGTATACACACTTGTATTGATATAAAAGACCTTTGGAAAGCCAGAAGAGAAGGGAAAATGACTAAAAAAATTGTCATTGAGCAAATCACGGAGAGATTGACGCAAGCCGTTTTTTGTGGTGGTCTAGCAGGTGTCGGGAGTGTGGTGCCCAAGGTAGGTTTTATTGTTGGGTTTTTTGGTGGTATCGTGGGCAAATGGATCGGATCCATGGTTGGTCCTAGTGTTGGGCAATTTATTGCTAGCCTGGTCGAATACGATGACAGAGCGATCTGCAAAATCACAAATTTGCGATCTGGAGATCATCTGGTGCTTCCGTACGACAGTGAAGAATCACATCACTGCATTGCACAATGGTATAACGAGGAGACAAACCATATAAACGTCATCCACAACACAGAGAAATACGGGGTAATACAAGAATGGATAGAGTTTGTACAGCCTACCTATAAGGTCATATACGAGGAGAAAGAAGGCTGCACTCCAGATGAAGCCTGGTCCAAAGCAGTGTCCAACCTTGGCCGGAAACAATACGATGCGGAATGCTTCAATAGCAAGCACTTTGCTCAGATGTGTTGCAAGAAATGATGAGGGATGATGTAACAACAACAACCATGATATATACAATTATATTTACAAGAGAAAAATAAGTACAAAGTATTAAAACCTAAATAAAGGTACAGCTAGGCTATCTATAATAACCACGAGGGCTAGCCGAGATAGATAGCTAGATAGTAACTCATCATGTAACAGGAATGACTGATTAGTTCACATTCCAAATCATTATAAGCTTATCCAAACATATTTTTTGAGCCAGAAGGCCTAATATCAAAATAAATTTCCAAAGACATTAACTTATTGTTAGGCCTTTTAGAGTATGCAACGGCGTTGCTACACAAGTTGCATGGAGCATCGCAGCTTGTTACCCTCTGCTCCGCAATGTCAAAAAATGTTACGACCAATCGTCGCAAAAAGTATAATTTGCTTCTACTTTTGGAAGCGATTGCGACTGCGACTGACACTCCACAACTTGTGTCCCAGCGCTGTTGAGAGAAAAGTTGCAGAAAAAATTGCTCCGTGTAATCGCGATTTAAGGTGGAGTCGTACAATGATTTATGAGTAGTTAAATAATTTCATTAAATATAATGCTTAAGGACTTGTGAATAAAAGATTGTATTTGTATAACTGTCACCGAGAAATTTTTACTCATGCGCAGTGTTTTCAGCGGCGAGAACAAAATTTTAAATAACTCCTAGGCTCTTGGATGCTTCGAATTCCAGCGATCCTTGCTCGATTTGATTACTTATTTGGTTAGCTTTTATAGAAGTTTATTTTTCTCTTGGCTTTCTTATTAAAGTCAGCATTGAATGCACTTAATGCGGCAAAGCTAACTCACGCAAATACCACAGGCAACCCAATTGCAATATCAATGCGATTTCAAAAGGCTACAGTCAAAGAAAACTATCAAGGTAGGCATTAACTTTATCGATTTTCCTCTAATCTTGTTATATTGATATAAAAATTTATATGGTTATATATATATTTTTAAATATCCCCTTACCGACCACAGGAAGCCCAATCGTGATTATAAACACGCATGCGCAAAAATAGGTACCCAGAATTCCAAGCAGGATTCAATGGAGAGGAGTATAACAACACAGGAGAAATGACTTCAGAAGGTAAGAAAAATATTTATATTTTGACCTTATTCCTAAATTTAATCGCATATATAACACCATATATTGCTTCTTTAGTTCCCAAGTGGCTGTCCTTCTTCAAGGAGGCTGGAATTCCTCCCTCTGTGGCCAGCAAGTAAGGCTTATGTTTTGTTGATGATTGAACTTTTTAGTCAACGTGGAAGATGATTGTTGAATGTAAACAATACTATGTTTTGTGACTCAGCTATTAATCAACTGTTATTTTAGCAAAATCTTAAACTGTCCTCTTCGTACGTAAATAAATTTTATTATTTGACTGTAAATTTGTTCAAAGATTTAATAAGTTTAAGTTCAATAACCTTGCATTTGTGACACACTTTGGACGTTACGATTTACTTATGTAAAGTTTTGTATATTGATCGATCTTTTACATATAAACTTAGAAAATCCAGTTAAGCTTTTCAAAGCTGTTGTTTGGATAAGCTTCCAAACGAAGGGTTATTGTTTAATAATCCACCACATTTTTTCCGTCCTTTAAAAACAGCTGATTATAATTCAATAAATTAAACTTAAGTTTAAATACAAAAACTTCTAACARCGTTATTTAAGCTTATAATGAACTTATTTCTTCTAGTTATGCAATTGCATTTTGTGATAATCGAATACAAAAGGACATGCTTCCAGAACTGACAAAGGTATTATTTTTGTCTTAAAAAGTGACTCCTACTGATCCATACATTAAGATTGCATGTTGTCTTGCTTCCGCAATACATTCACCCTTCAACCTTTATCTAACTGCAAAACAACCTCTGGGTTGATCAAAGTCAGGACTTGGTTAACTCACAGATCAAACCCTGAAACGACCTCTGGGCTTATCAATGTCTGGGTATGGTTAACTCACAGATCGAAGCCTGTTGCAACCTAACAGATAACTCACAAATTAAATTGCAATTTAGCTAGTTGGGTTTTTTTTTGTGGATGAAGGAAAACTAGAAAGCACAGATAAAAACCATAAGATTGAGGAAGAGACCCAACAGACTTTGTTTACTTGTTATGCCAAGTGCAGGAATCAAACCTGAGACCCCAAAGGTATAAGGCTAGTGGATTACAACACCCTTGTTTTTTACAAAATAGTGTCTTTCCTCATTCTGGCAACAATATGATTTTTATTTAACGAATGACCAGATATTCATAACTGAGTCAATAGGGTGGATATGCTTTAGTTTTTATTTTCATTATATTGACAGAATACCTTTGTGGTTTTTGTTCTAGGAGATTTTGCGTGACATGGGTATTATGGTTATGGGAGATATAATTGCAATTCTAAGACATGCAAAGCAAGTCCATGCACAGGTAATAAAAAAAATGTGAACACAATTTATTATAACAAAGAAGACAACAATAATCCAATCAAAAATTATTTTTCTTGGGTTATTTCTTTTGTTATTAGGATTTTGTATGTCATATTATGCCCCCTTTTTCTCCAGACTCAAAAGGAAAAAGCAGTCAAGGCTCTGGAAATTATTGAAGAACAGGAGATTGTATCAGAAACAAACTCTCCAAAAGTATCTTCAGGTATATATACACTCACATACCATAGTCATTTATTATGTAGTTAGGATAGTACGGGGCGCTAATTGGTYGAAAACTGTGCTTTATTAGTGAACGGAGCACAGTACTGATGCCATCTGCACATGCAAARTGCTGCTAGATCCTGTGACCATCTTTCTTTTTGAGTTAATAATTTCAATACCAAAAAAATAAATAATTAGTAACTATATAATAAAATGAATAAAACTCCTTTTTCTGTGCTCCATTCAGTAATAAAGCACTTAGGAAGCGCCGTAAGCACTTAGGAAGCGCCGTAAGCACTTAAGAAGTGTGAATTAGCACTCGCATACAACTCAAGTTTCTCCTTACACTTCTTTTGTGCTTATGTCACTTCCTGTGTGCTAGATTACTGAATGGAGAACAGAAAATCTGTTTTATTTGTTAAATAGAACATAACAGCTGAGGCTGAAATGATTCATGGGAAGTACGTTAACTAGAAGTATCTAGTGATACATCTCGTGGAATGTTCATAAATTGTTGCACTGACAGAAAGCGTGGAAGCTTTTAACACTTTTAATATCGACTGTGTATTTTAAATGAATACATCATAGGATGATTATATGTTCATTTCCCAGCATACCTTTCAGTCAGCTATGTTATATTTTTGAACCCCAAAACGATTTTTTAAAAAAACAATGGCTACTCAACATATGACTTGATGGGCAACCTTTAACCAGTTAATAAGCCTGAAGCAAGATGACGTTTTTCCCCCAACTCTATACCATAATAGTTTTTAAAATTCTTTCATATTAAAATTTTTGATTCCTTAGAGAATACAGGAACAATAGTCATAATTAAAGAACAAAAGCAGTGTGAAAAGGATTATGGTCTAGAGACGGGGGTAAAATGTCATCTCGCTTCAGGCTTATTTGACCAGTAAAGAGAAATGGCATAATGGTCATTCCACTGGACATTGTCTGTTGACTGGCCCTTATTTTTGGCCCTGACTTGCCTTGTCTAACAGACAGCATTTTTTCTTCCATACAGCTGCTAGTCGCATGGTTGACCACTGGATTAATAACCAGAGGATGTCAAGTGGAACTAAGAGCCCTGTATCTGGTACTGAATCACCTGGGAACCGTTTCTTGAAGAAGAAAATGACCATCCAAACAAAAACTGGCTCCAAAAGCCCAACAGCTAGTACTGCTTCCCCAGATCATTCCTTACTAAAGAAACGACTGACTATCCATGCAAGTACCTCTGAGTATGAACCAATGGCCAAAAAAGGAGCCACATCACTGTCAGAAAGGTTCAGTACCAAGGCAGCAGCAGCCTCACCTCTAGTTACTTCAACCACCAAGAAAAAAATAGTGCCAAAAGTACAACGAATAAGTGTGCAAGTACCAAATGACACCAAGAAACTAGGTAAGAACTAGTAAGATTTTAGGGCCAAACAGACTCTGAGATGGTTTGCATGCTAAGTCCAGTTACTAAAGCAAATAGTTTGAATGAAGAAATTTCCAAAAAAAGACTGCAAGGAGATCTTATGAGATGTAATGGGAAATATCTTCTGGCGGAGAAATCCCGGGGGGGGGGGGGTATTCTTGCCCATTTAGGGTAGAGATGTGCTGCTGAGCCATCTGAACCCTGACCCTGTTTATGCACTTTTTTAAATAAATAAAATATCATTATTGTCATCTAACAACAATTATTATTCTTTGACTTTGTCCTTTCCTAAGGTATAAAACAAAAACAAACTGCTTTGACAAAACAGAAACAAGGTGTTTCTGCGGCTGGTGAGTGAAGAAGATGGACAAAATTTTAATATTTAAATTATTATAATTACATTGTACAATAATTCTCATCAGTATGTATTGCTCGAAAATGTAACCTTTTGCATCAATGTTACCAACATCTATGTTTCTTAATCATTTATATAATTCATATTTGTTTTCTTTTTTTCAGTTGCTAAAACAAAGACACCCAAAAAGCAATCTGTGTTTGACCGACTTGGTGACGAAATTGATATCCCATCTAAACCAGAAATCCACACAGTCAGCTCTACTAATACTAGTGCTAAGAAAACCCAGCCAGCACTGAAACCCCTAAAAACAAGTATAACTGCACCTAAGGGTACCATCAAGGTAAGAATTTTGATTCCTTTTACCCAAAACGAAAATACAAGGTCTTGGCATTCCATTTGAGTAAGGTTTGTTAGGTGGCCTTCCCTTGATTTTATGGCTTTTCTCTGGGATCTCTAGTTTTCATTCCTCCATAAAACCCATCATCTTAATCTCTATTTTAATTTATCTTTGAGTTAGCTGTTTCAGGGTTCAATAAAATTGGAAGATTTGATAAAGCTTTTTAACCATTACCAGAGGTTATGGTCTCTTTAAAATTTCTCTCCAGCCTACTTTTGTTTAAGTCCAATTTTACTCAAGCAGGGTTTTCTAAATGACTAATTCCTCCCTCAAAGTATCCAAAGAAAACTTGTGTAAATTATCCACATGCATGAATTAAGAGCAGGGGTGTTATGAAGTTTCGACCTTGGGGGCATAAATTGATATCCACAGGAATCCTGCATAAGGAAATAAAATTTTGGAGCCAAGATGCAAAGTTCAGAATAGTAATTCATAGTGGTATCCAAAGAAAAACTATCAAATAAATAAGAATTATAGTTAACGTGCCCCTCGCTTTGTCCCTGATAAAGGGTATCAATTACCAATACTGAAAGGGTATGAATTTGAACATCAAGATCAAGGAAACTTTTAAATTTTTTACAGACTAATGCATCAGCAATATCTGGAGTAGAGTTACCAAAATCAGTGTTCAGTCGTCTTGGAGGGATAGCTCCTACATCATCCACCCAAAAGGTTACAATCCAGCCTGTCCTTCCTTCCAAGCGGCAACAGGTCATTGATGTCTCTAGCCTATCAGATGATGACAATAATCAATACGAAGAAATAGACTATACAACCCATAGTGTTCTTCGTCCCCCACCCAAGAAAAAACAAACTGTTAAAGTAAAACCTGTTAAGACTGTGAAGCCCGTGAAGCGGACAGTAGGAGTGGTTTCTCAGATTAGTGACACTACTAAATCTGTATTTTCAAGATTAGGGCCAAAATAATGGATTTAGTTAGCTTATTTTTAGCAGATTTTCAAACCTAAGGAAAAGAGCTTTTTAATGAATATTCTGCAGATATCTTCTCAAGATCAGCTTCAGCACAATGATCCCAGAAAATCAGAGGCAAAGAAAATGTCTGAAAGTCACTCTAGGGCTGTCTCATGATATGCTTCCCCCAACTGCCCAACCCCTAAAAGATAAAACGAAAGGGAGTGTGTGAAAAGTATTTGTCAATCCGGGCGACAAGATCTCCCTAAAAAACGTGGACATGACCTCTAAAAAACAGCTTCAATGGTTTTGCCTCTAAAAATATGCAGTTTTTTTATTAAGCTATTTTGGAAAAACTGATGTTTTAGGGTTGTTCTAGAGCTGTTTTATCACATGGGATACCAGAAACAACGCTTAAATTTCTCAGTTGTTTCCACTGACAAAATTCCGTTTGACATTTGTCGAAACTGGGATTAAAATTTGTTTAGTTCTAATGATTATAATATTATATAAATATATTTTGTAATTTTCAATATTTTGAAAACTCAACAGCTGCAAGTTGCGTTTGAATTTGATTTCTTACTGTTAACAGCCAAAAATATATAATATACCTCATAGTGATAAAAATGTCAATGAAAAACCACATTTCAGTATGCATGCAGCTTAAAGTTTATATCATATTGAAAACTACTATGAAGTCTATGAGAGACATTTTGAGCTTGGCTGTGCATTTTTCCATTCTTATGGGGAAAAATTAGATTGGCAAAGTATCTTCTCAAGCATTACTGATTTAAGAAAGAAATAATACTCTTGGTTTTCATAGTCCACTTAAAAAATTTAATGGTCTGATATGTTTTTTAAATTATTTTTTATTGATTATGTTGAATCTGTTGTAAAAAAAAGTTATGAAGTTTTATTCTATAATTTTGAATGGTCTTCATTGTTATGGAGCTATAAATCGTTATGCAAGAACAGGAGACTATTTCCTAGACCATACCACTATTATTATGAGGCCTATTATACCTGTACAAGTAACCTTCAATAACCATTCATATCATATTTGGGTGAAGGGAAGCAGAAGGCACTAATGTGACACAACATAATAATAATAATAATAATAATAATAACAACTTTATTAGACAGGGTAACACCGTTACCATAAATGATAATTTTCAGGTGGCCCTCGATAAAATATATACAAAATAGAATAATAATAATAAATAATAGTAAAATA